AGGAAGACTGGAATTATCTGGGTTATTTACACAATTGTCTACTTGTCTTTGCATGTGTAGACAGACTTTGTGAAGGCACATAGAGAGGACAAAAATTCCAGACAATTCATTTGTAGCAAATGGATACTTTCAAATGGAAAGCCTCAGATTTCTAAAAATTCAATTTGCTTTAAAGCTCATAGCTAGACTTTCCATGCAAGCTTCCCGACCTTCCAGAAGTTTTTATCAGCTCATTTGTTAAAATTCCCACCACACTATCCACACCATCCATCTGGTGTCCCTGATCTGCTGGGCCTTACTCCAACATGCCTACAGTTCCCTCCTTCATGTCCATACTGGTCCATGCCTACAGTTTCCACCTTCACATTCATGGAAAATTATTACAGTTCAAGATCTTGTTCAAATAACACCGTCTATTTGAAGCCCTCTTTCCTACACAAGGCATAATTAGAAACTCTCTTCTTCTTTAGTTCTCCAGCAGAATAAGGTACAGTGTGAAGAAATGGAAAGGAAAAATGTTCTGCTATCAAAAATGACCTGGTTTAGCTTGGCTGATGTGGTTCAGTGGTTGAGCACTGACCTATGAACCAGGAGGTCAAAAGGTTCAATTCCCAGTCAGGGCTCCCAACCCAGTGGGAGTGGGGGAAGGGCATTCAGGAGGCAGTTGATCAATAATTCTCTCTCATCACTGATGCTTCTATTTCTCTCCCTCTCTGAAATCCATAAAATATATTTTAAAAAAATGACCTGCATTTAAACCTGACTCTTGTACCTATTAGATATGTGATTTTAGGTAAATTAGTTAACCTCCCTGAGGCTCTGTGTTCTGATATTGAAATTAAGATTGTTAATTCTCTAAATTTATTGGGAAAATCAGTGATATTGGATTCATTATTTTTTCCTATGCATTTTTTTGTGTGTGAACTCCTTGAGATAACAGACTTTGCCTTTTCATTTATTTTGCTGTCCCATACAGCACCTAGCATAGTGCCTGGTATTTTGTAGCATTTAGGTTTTTTTTAGTTTTTTTTTTTTTTAAATCAATGGATATTTCAGGAAAAGTAACTGAAGCACTGATAGGTCAATTAAAGTCGAAGCTCTTCTATGAAGTGCTCTCTGGTCATCCCATGCCACTTAATTTGAATTCTCATAGCTCTGTCATAGTCTGCTTCACACATACTAATTGATTTTAAGTACTCCAAGATAGTAACCATAGCTTTCACTTTGAACTTGGGCAACACTTCACAATGCTCTATAACTGCTAGTGAATAATAAGGCTATTTAAAACACCGTCTCTTTCTCTTTCCAAAAAGTTTTCCTCTTCAGTTTATGTTAAATTTATTTTATGGTACTAGACGCTAAAGCCTCTATAACAACGACTTATTTCTATACTCCTTGCCTTTGGCTCAAAGTGAGTGGCATCTCCTGATCTCCTGACCCAACTTTCCCAACTCTCTGCACAGTCTGTCTCTTTGTGCTCCAGTGAACTAACTTTCTCTCTCTCTCTCTCTCTCTCTCTCTCTCTCTCTCTCTCTCTCTCTCTCTCTCTCTCTCTCTCTCTCTCTTTTCCTGTCTTTAAAAACATATTTTTATGGATTTTTTCCCCCCCAGAGGCAAGAAAGGAAAGGGGGAAAGGGAGAGAGAGATAGAAACATCGATTGGCTGCCTCTTGCATGCCCCTCGCCAGGGATCAAGCCAGCAACCCAGGCATGTGCCCTGACTTGGTATCGAACTGGTGACCTCTTGGTGCATGGAGTGATACTCAGCTACTTGAGCCATACTGGCTGGGCCAGTACACTTTCTCTCAACTGTCCTTTGTTTTCTCCTTCTGGACAAGCATCTTCTTACTGATGTATTATTCTTGTGGGGATTGGGAAAACTTTGGTTCATTATTTCTTAATTTGCTGACTCATGGAGGATTACGGCTGGTGGCACCTTAAAAATCATTGAATCCGGATACATCAAAAAGGGAACAATTCCGAATATTGTGTTAGGCATGACTAATCGATCATGGCAAATTTTTTCCCCCCTGCTGAGGTCATATATGGCCTCAAAATTATTTTCAACACACTATTCCAGGCAGAAACTATCAATCTATCAATCTACGTAGGAAGTGAAATGTGTCTGACATACGTGGCGTAGTTCAAAGCTGTTATTTTGCTAATGAGGCCCACGGGGCAGCTGTGAGTTAGTCATTAACTGAAACCAGAACTCAAGCTACTTAACTCTCCTGATTTCAGTCTAGTGTTTCCTTTCCCACGTGATCACTGCTTCTCTTTCAGTGGTCATTCAAGTCCTAGAATTTATATTCTATGCATTGATATATACGTAAGGAGAAGGGCCTATGTTACACTTTGAATCTTTCACAAGTTCTAGCTCTTGTTTGGCTCATGATAGATATTCAATAAAAATTCTTTGATATAAATCCAATTACATATGTGAAACAACAGGAAACATATCCCCCCCCTTTTTTTTTTAACCAAGAATCATTGAAAAATCCTATCCTTTGTATATAAGTAGTATTTATTTAAAAGGACTTCATGCATGATGACATATATATTTTTTTCAGAGCAACATCATATATTTAAATAAATTCTCATCTGAATGTTTTAGGGGGAAATAAATTATGTTAATAAAAGGATTGCACAATGACACTTCTGCTTAAAAATACAAAGGGCAGTGTAGGTCTGGGGATCAAAAGTCCTGAGAAAGAATAGATTTTCTTCCTGTTTTCCATAGTGACATATACTGACCATAACTGTGGTTCTTTTTTTTCTTCTTTTTCTTTTTTTTTTTAAACATATATTTTATTGATTTTTACAGAGAAGAAGGAAGAGAGATAGAAAGTTAGAAACATTGATCAGCTGCCTCTGGCACACCCCTTACTGGGGATGTGTCCACAACAAAGGTACATGCCCTTGACCAGGATCCAACCTGTAACCCTTCAGTCCCCAGGCCAAAGCTCTATCCACTAAGCCAAACCAGTTAGAGTACTTGTGGTTCTTGTTGACACTGAGAAACCAGAATTGTCAGGATAGAAAAATAAAGGAAATGAGATGAACAGAAAGAGAACAGAGAGAAGGGAGCAAAGTTTTTTTTTATTTTATATTATAGCAATATAAAATAGAGTTTAAAAGTTGTAATACCCACAGCTAACATTGTACTTAATGGTAAAAGACAGAAAGCCTTCATCTTAATGTCAGGAACAAGACATTCTACCCATTTCTACCCAGGGCAATCAGAAGTTCTAGCCAGGGCAATCAGGCATGACTAAGAAATAAAAGCCATCCAGATTGGAAAGAAAGAAGTTAAAAACTTCTTTCTTACATATGACATGACCTTGCAAAAGAATAATATTGGAACTCTACCTCATATCTAAAAACTAACTCAAAATGGATCAAATACCTAAATGTAAGAGCTAAAATTATAAAACACTTAGAAGAAAATATCAACACAACTCTTCAAGACCTTGGATTAGGTGATGGTGTCTTAGATATGACATCCAAAATACAAGTAACAAAAGAAAAAATAGATAAAATTCATCAAAATTAAAACTTTTGTTCATCAAAAGACACTATCAAGAGAGTAGAAAGACAACTCACAGAATGGGAGAAAATATTTGGAAAGCATATATTTGATAAGAGATTAATATTCACAATATTTAAGGAAACTTTACAACTCAATAACAACAGAAGAACCTAATTTAAAAATAGGCAAAGGATCTAAACAGATATTTCTCAAAAGAAGAAATACAAATGGCCAATCAGCACATGAAAAGATGCTCGATGCCAACAGCCATTAGAGAAATGCAGATCAAAATCAAATGAGATACCAAACAGGGTTGCTATATGCAGAAAGACATATAATAACAAGTGTTGGTGAATATGTGGAGAAATTGGAACTTTCACACACTGATGGTAGGAATGTAAAATGGTATGACCATCTTGGACAACAGTCTTGCAGTTCTCCAAATGACCCAGTTCTTCAAATGAACCTAGGTTTATCTCAAATGGAAATAAATGTACATCCATGAATACTCACAGCAACATTACCCATAATAGCCAAAAAGGTGGAAACAACCCAAATATCCATCAACTAATGGAATAAATTATTGAAGTTTATCCACAATGGAATAATTTGTCAGTGAAAAAAAATTTACAGATGCTACAACACAGATGTACTTTGAGAACATTATGTAAAGAAGAGTCACCAAAGAACACATAATGTATAATTCCATCTCTATGAAATATCCAGAATAGGATAGAGACAAAGTAGATTAGTAGTAGGGCTGGGTGGGGGGTGGAGATGGGGTTGGGGGAAATGGAAAGTGACTGCTATAGGATCTCTTAATGGGATGATAGGATGTTCTAAAATTATGGTGGTGGTTGTATAACTCAATATACTAAAAACCTTTGGATTACATACTTAAATTGGTGAATTGTATGGTAGCAAATTAGACCTCATTAAAGCTGTTATTAAAAAAGATACATGTGCATATGAGTAAATTTTTTAATTTTAGCGATTAAATTTCATTTGTTAATTCTCTTCTATGTCTGTCACAACAATCCATGTATTCACTTAGATGGTTCATATGTATATTTCCACTACTCTTAGCTTTATAATGTGTAACGGATTAGACATATTTTATGATGAACTGGCAATTTTTATGAAATCCATCTCTTTAGAACATTTCATTTAAAAGAAAACAAATTAAAAAATGAAAACACCTAAATTATATTTCTCCTTCATTGTAGTCATTATATCACCTTCATCAATGCATGATTTCTGCTGACCACCAGCAGCTTTACCCCCGGATTTAATATATTCACCATAAATACATTTCATCAGAAATCACATCATTACTTTTAGCAATACATTTATAACAGTGCTCTACTGTCTGGTAGCTTCATAATTTGCTGGCTACTGAAAGACTAAATGTTAATTATAGTTAAATCCATGGCAATTGAGAGAACTTAATGTTTTGATTATTTTGTACCTACCCCTTTTGAATCAATCACTCCAGGTTTTGCATTAAACTTCACTGTCTTCAATCGGGCACGTTCCTTTCTTTCCACCCTAGAGAAAATTGAAAATAAAGACTCTATCATATGGCTAGTCCCTTATGATTAAAGTTCCTTATTCAATGAAGGATACCTCTTCTTATCACACAGCTCAAATAAAATGTGTTCTAAAATATTTCTGTTCCTTTGTGTAAAAAAGTATACAAAGACATTATAAAAAAGTCTTGGTATAATGTCTTTAAGCTGCTAACACATCCCTTGAAATTTCTATGTAATGAAAGTAGTAGTATTTGGAACAAAGAGGGAGAAAAACCAATATTTCTTATTTAAGTGCCTGAATAAATCCATCAAAATTTATTTCAAGGATATCAGAGCCCATCTAAAGTAGATATTAAGTAAACTTCTCTCTTCAACCTTCTCACCTTTCTCTTTTCTTTCCTTCCCTTTAAGAACACTGGGGAATTTACTATCTTCACCTCCAAACCAAACATGTTACAGATAATCTTGAATTTTTCCTTCCCCCCCAATGTCCTTCTCCTGTCATTCTTCTGCAGACTTTATCATATACCTGCCATGCCATTTATTTATCAATCACTTATTGAGGGCCTACCATGTATCAAGCAAGGAGCTGGGAACAGTGGGAAACTTTTTCTTTTTTTTCTTAATATATTTTATTGGTTTCTCACAGAGAGGAAGGGAAAGGGATAGAGAGCTAGAAACATCGATGAGAGAGAAACATCGATCAGCTGCCTCTTGCACACCCCCTACTAGGAATGTGCCTGCAACCATGCCCTTGACCAGAATCGAACCCAGGACCCTTCAGTCCGTAGGCCGAAGCTCTAACCACTGAGCCAAACCAGTTTTGGCGGGGAAAACCTTTTAATAGCATGATTGCAAAGAACATAAAGATTGATAATGCTGCCGTTAGACCTTTGATTGCCACGTGGGAGCATATTTCTCATGGGAGGATAAAGAGATGTGGAAAGCATTGAGGTGGGCTTCTTGGATGAGAGGTGTCAATTTAGGTGAATTTGAAGGATGAAAAAAGCTTCTCAGTAGGAAAAGTTCAGGGAGAATTTCCCAGACAGAGAGACAACATACACCATGAGTGAGGCTATAAGCATGCTAACTGTGGTAGGAAGATTCCGGCACATGGTACACAGAGGATGGGGAAGTGAGGCTGGATGTGGGGCCTCCTTATAAAGGGTATTCACCCACACTAAGGACTTGGTTTTTTTCCCCTTGGGAAATCCTCATGATTAGAGGGTATAAAACAGGAAAGTAATAGAATAGATTAGCATTTTAAATAAATGACCCTGGTGAAGAAGAAAGACTGGAGGAGGGAAGGGACAGCTGGAAGCAAGACGCCTGTCTATCTATTTATTTATCTTTAAATATCTTTTTATTGATTTCGGGGAGGAAGGAAGAGGGAGAGAGACATGGAAACATCAATGATGAGAGTCATTGATCAGCTTCCTCTTGCATGCCCCACACAAGGGATCGAGTCCACAATCCAGGTATGTGTCCTGAGTGGGAACTGAACTCTGATTTCCTGGTTCATAGGTTGATGGTCAACCACTGAGTGACACTAGCCAGGTCAGGAGGCCTCATTAGAAGATATTGCCATGACCCAGGCAGGAAATGATTAGATATCATAGTGAAATGGAGGAGAGAGAGAGGGCTTGAGGAATATCAGTAAAATAAATATTTTAGGTGTTGTGCCTCATTTGAAGGATGGTATTGAAAAAGGAGAAAAGGCAAACATTTAAATACCTTCCAATTTTTTAATGTTTTGCCTCTCCAGTGTGTCACATCGTTTCTTCCTCTGCCACAATAGCACTTATTTGCACCTCTGTGTCGGCTTCTCTCTCATTTCCCTGTGTCTCTTTGTTTCTCATTACACATGCCAGGCTCTACGGTCTTTGAAAGCAAGCCCAAATATCACCCCACAATGTGTTATAATGAGTCCTCCATATGTAACTGTTGAACTAACAGAATATTCATTGCGTTGTTTTAACATGACACTTTAAGTATGGCTAGCTCTCATTTCAAAAATGAGCAAATAAAAGAAAGAGGAAAAACCTAAATTAGAGAAACAATGGTTTCTAAAATCTAAGCTAGTCACAGATGAATAATTAACAACATACGCCTTTTAAGCTGTGAGCTCTTTTGTGCTTCCAGCTGAAACACAGTGAGAATTAGGGTTTCTATAGTTACAGAGGGGAGTTTCAGAATGTATTTATTTCAATGTGAGAGTAGAATATTTGAGTGGAAACAGCTGAACAAAATTTTTTCAAGCCTAACCTCACATATGAAAACAATGTGTTCCACGGAGAGTTTCTATGTGCACCCGACACTCAGGAGTTGGGAGGAGAGCAAGGAAGACTTCAGAGAAGGTGAGCTGCCAGCTGGAAAGACGCTCCCTGACAAAACGCCTTTTCCGAGCTCCTTCAGTTTTACTCAGTTCTAATCCAAGAGCAAATGCTAATTCATATTAATTTCTTTGGGTTTTTCCAACACCACTGTTGTAGCCCTGACTTTATCCTGGCTTCTTTGCATCAACCAGGTGAATTGTGGAAAAGATGAGTCCAATAGATGTTGCCAGAATGACTGTAGCATGCAGAGAATACACATGGTTATTTGATCAGGCTGTACAAATTCTGCATAAATTCTGCATAAATCCATAGAACTCATGTGGGCCCCAGACATGCATAACATTAGGCTCAGTATTCTATTCTAAAAATTGTTTGGCCACAGCATTCTAATCCCCCCCCCCCCCCCCCCCCCGTGATTCCTAAGTCCATTCTTTTCAGGTTTCTTAAGAAGTGTTCCTGTTAGGCATTATGTAATGGTCCATCCCTTAAATTTTAAAAGGGTTGCAAAGAATACTGTCAGATGGATGAACAAACAGACAGACAGACACAAACAGACATGTATACAAACCTAATATTTGATATGGTGTATTATTACTCTTCAAACAGGCAACAGAATTAGTAAATAATTTTTAAAGCCTTCCTTATAAAGGTGGCATGGTTTGGTTCACTCATGAAGGAAGTTTTGCTTTGAACTTGGGTTGAAAGTTTCATTAAAAATGATGATATATAAGTGGTGGCTGATGTTTTAATGCATAATTATTAATGAAGAATTCCTTCACTTTTACACGATCTCATCTGCTCCCCATAACCCAGTGATGTAGATGTTATCAACCCTCTTCCATGGCTGGGTAAGCTGAGACTTGAAGTGTACGCCATTAGAAAGTGGTAGAAATAGGGCCTGAACAGACACCTGCTAACAGCTAACTTTAGTGATTCCGCATCTACTCAGTTTCAGAAACAGCATTCAAGGGCCTTCCACACCTCCCTTATCCAATGGGATTAAAAAACAAACAAACAAACAAACAAAACCCCGTGATGTTCTGGATGGGAAATACATAGCTTTATGACCAATACAATTCCTTCTTAGTCTGGGCTGAGTTTATCACAATTAATAACAACCCCTTCCCTTGTACTCCCATATCCTAAATGTCCTGAATTAAATAGACCACAACACAATTTAAGCATATAATCACTGAGATAATATCATATCTTAACAGCCTGGCCTCAATATTAAGAATGAATTTGCTCTTAACACTGACATTCAGGTTAGCCAAATGTGTATTTGCAACATTACGTTACAAGTATGTGATTGATTTCTCTCCTTGACAGTCTTTTTAGTGTTCATAGAAACCCCTCCATAGTCTTTCTTTCCCATCACCGAGGCCCACACTGATTGCCCCTTGGATTTCCCTGCAAACCCCCCTCCTTTGTAGTAGCGGTTGTGGCTTATCTTTTCTTTCTCATCTTATTCAGTCCCTGATTCTTTCCAGTGGCTTCTTGGGATTAAGTGGATAGCTTATTGCTGAAGTGAGAGCTAGGGCTGGGAAACAGGGCCCCATATAGTGCTTTTAGCACCAAAAGCTCAAAATCTGAAGAAAGGAAAATAGCCATCCTTTGCGAATGCACGAGAAAGTATCAGAAGCTATTCTAAGCACTTTGCCTATATTATCTATCATCTGTACAATGGCTTAACATAAAGCTGGGAATAGAGGAGGAACTTAATGAATCTTTGTTGAATAAATGCACGAATAAATTAATACTCAAGGCTACTAGTTCTTGACCTGAATGTGAAAACGGAGGCTCAGAGTCTTGTGAGGTGACGTGACCAAACCACCAGTGTGTCTGATAAAAACAACAACAATTGTTCGTTGTTTCATGACTTTACTTGGTAAATTTAGCATCACCCTCTCTAAATATTTTACTAAGTAAGACTCCTTTGGCAGAAATAGGTGCTATTTTATTTCATAAATCTTTAAGGAAAAAGTAGACAGTATAGAGTTGAGAAGAACCGCTGTACTTCTCTCAGACTCAAGAGAGGCAAGCAATTAATTAGATTGTTTAAGCAGAAATAATCCTCTCCGCCCTGGTTTGGTCACTGACCAAAATACAGAAAATATAAACTGGATGGCAAAATATGAGCAATCAGTTTTGACATCGAGCATCTCCAGAGACAACCACATGGTCATGCTGTAATGAGCCCAACTGTTTCCTCCTGCCCTCTCAGCCAATTTCCATCTGGCCTTTTCAGGTTCTGGCCAACCCCACAATGAAGTCAGGCTTGGAGTGCTAGATGGTGGGAACATCATTTGGTGCTGGGTATTCTGTTGGCCGTGCTCCACAAGGTTCTGTAGCAGGGAGAATGGAAATGCTATCCATGTTACTGGCCACAGGCTAGCTGCAAAAGCTAGGCCAGAAAACCCATATGCAATGCCAGCTGCAATCTCTCATCTGAGAGCCCAGGTGACCAGTCACTGTAGGGCAATGTATAGAGACTTGGATGAAAGACTGTGGAACAAATCTCAGCGTGGCCATTCCCAAACTAGATAGTCTCAGAAAACAGAGATTTGTGCTGAGAGCTCAGGTTTCTGAAATCACACAAGCCTGGGTTTAAATTCTGCCTCTATCAATTACTAGCTCTATGACCTAGGACAGGTCATCAGGATCTCAGGTTGATATTGTT